ACATATATACGTCTGACATTCCTTTTTCTCCTTTCTCCCTCCCTTGTCTTTTATGCTGATGTCACTGCTTTATTCCCAACTCACCAAAATATACAAATTGCTAGAAATACTTTATAAAAATATGTAAAATGGACACAAAATTGGAGAATTGTGGTAAACCCTTGTAAATTTTAAGCCAAAATCTTTACACTTTACACACCAATGAATTCCCCTCCATTAATAATAAATAACACATATGTAGCCTGGATCAAAAATAGTCTTCCAGTTAAATATTTAGGTTTATATATAGATAAAAGATTGACATGGAACCACCAAATTGAAAACATATCTAACTCGTTTTATCACAAAATTTCAAAGTTCATATCCTTTATTACATCATCACTCAAAATTAAGCATTGACTGCGGCTCGTTATTATATAAGACAATAATTCGTCCCTCCCTTACATTTACGCTTGCCTTATTCGGTTCAATGCATCTACAACACACATCAATAAAATACAAAAAAAAATATTTTAAGAAAATTACTAAACGCTGAATAGCTTTCCAACAAACAAATACACGCTGAGCTTCAGATAGACAAAATTAAAAACAATATCAATCTTCAAACGGATAAACTTTAAAAAAATTTCCATCTGTTCCCGCTTCTCAACATTACGAACTAGGTGTTAAATTACAATTTTTTCCGCATTAAATCACGTTTTACGAAATATATTTTCCACATACCTTAAAATCACACAGCACCACACACATACACATTTTCCAAATCTTTTATTTTCAACACATTATTTAATTAAAAAATTAATATAATAAAAATCAAATTTACTCAACAATGGGTAAAAATGATATACGTGGTATGCAAATCGCTGGAATCTTACCAAAACGTTATGTAGTATGTTTTTATTCAAAGTCCTGAAAATGTGTAAGAATTGAATAGGTAGAAATAAAAAAAAGATTCATAAACTTGTTTACTTATGAAACTAAGAACGAATAAGGTTAATATTTACTTCTTTTCTAGAAAGTAAGCGAGAACGTTTCAGTAATAGGACGGAAATAATTTTTGTCTTACATCTCAGACCCCATCTAAATTGAAGCGTTTTTCTAAAACAACTATAGTTACAAAACACAAATTTTCAGGAGAGCGCAAAAACTTTCCATGACAATACTGGCAGACATTTGAAGCATTAAGCATTCTCATTCTTACATTTAAATAGGAATTTTTAAGAAAACCCTTCCAGACTCTGAGGAAAGCAGATCAGGTCTTTATCTAATAGCAATGCCTGTGTCTGTACTTGGCGGGAGAGCTGGCGTACGGGCTAGGGCCTACCAGCAGCGTCCCGGCCTCGCGCCATGGGCCCTTTAGGGTAGGAGAGGTTAGCACGGAGACATCCCTACACTATATTCTGTTGTTGTTTTTTTCAACCTGAGAAGTGGATTTTATCAACCTCACACAGCAACATATACTGGGTCATTGTAAGGAAAACGCACGCTATAATCTTGCCTGACCGGGAATCGAACCTGTGGTGGGGTCGTGGAAAGCGACTCGCTGACCAATGAGCGAAGCAATGCAAAATAAAACGAAGGAAATTTGTAGTATTTTATTAAAATTTGAACCAATTATATTAAAAATAATCGTAGACATTGTGGTTTATTCAAATCTAGCAGAACCCGGTGGACGTTATGTCCTTCATCTCCCTCTCTCGATCTTCCTTCGTCTCCGTATATCTATCTCCCTGTCTGTCTGTCTCTCTCTCTGTCTATTTTTCTCTCAGTCTCTCTCTCTCTCTCTCTCTTCGTCTCTCCCCCCTCTCTCTGACCCTCTCATACAGATTAATTTGCAGGTTCTGCACGTCTAACAGAAGGTGGGGCAATATCGGGAAGCATCGGACCAGCAAAAATGTATCAAGAAGCTCTCGATTACGGCGTGGGAAACGTTTCTATCAGGAGTTTGGCCCCAAGAGCTTAGTTTTTAATGCCCCATAGTTATTCTGCTATTTGGGGGCAGAGATGAATTCAAGAAATGCGAGATATTGAAAATTGGCCCAGCCG